AAAAAAAAAAAAACTTCAGTTTTTAAATAATTTGTGCAGTTTATAATTGTTTGCAGGAGGGTCAGTTGGACAGGAACATTACCACAAAAGGTGGAACCTCCCATGGTTTAACTTTGAAAACTTTCACTTTCTTTTGGTTAAAAAAAAAATTTTGGAGTAGGTATAGCGGGCCTTAGGTAGAAGCACTGACACTTTCTCCATATTCATCTGGTGGTGCAATGTTGATGGTAGAGGGCAGCTCAGTACCTGGCGCTGTTCAGACCAAACTCTTGTCTTTTGGAAGACAGAGTTGCTCTGACTCTTAGCAGATGTCCTAACATAGCATTTTCTCCTTCTCATCTGTGATCTTCATGCCTTTCTCTATGTCAGTGTGGTGGAAAGACAGGTAGGTATTCGTGGTGTTGGGGCATGGGGGTGGGCTGTGTGAGGTGAGGAATGAAAGAGCATATGGTCATGGTGAGAGGCAACAGGCAAAGGTTATTGGAGTGAGTTTGCTGGGGAAACAGAAATGTTCCAGGCACTGCCCCTTTTATATCCTCATCTCAGACTTAGCTTCTACTTTTCTAGGTCTTCCTTCCTCACACTGAATGGAATTTTGCCTGTGGGACCAGCTCTCCATGTGACAGTGTCAGGATTATCTTATCTTATTTTAGAGTCCCCTCTGTCATGCAGCCTGGAGTTCAATGGCATGATCTTACTCACTGCAAACTCTGCCTTCTGGGTTCAAGAGATTATCCTGCCTCAGCATCCAGAGTAGCCAGAATTACAGGCAGGTGCCACACAGCTGGCTAATTTTTGTATTTTTAGTAGAGAGGGGTTTCACCATGTTGGCCAGACTGGTCTGGAACTCCTGATCTCAGGTGATCTACATGCCTTGGCCTCCCTTAGTGCTGGGATTATAGGTGTGGGCTATCAGCAGGCAGGGATTTTTAAAGTGTGCTCATCTGGAACATATATACGAGAATAATCTGTTTTTTTGAAAAGAAACAGGGCCTTGCTATGTTGCCCAGGCTGGTCTTGACCTCTTGGCCTCAAGCAGTCCTCCCACCTCAGCCTCCCAAAGTGCTGGCATTACAGGCACAAGCCACCATGCCCAGCCATGGAGAATATTCTTATCAGAAACATAGGCAAAGGGAAATTACTGCATTTGAGCACCAAAGTTGGGGTTAAGCTTCCTGGAAGCTAAATTAAGAACATAGCACTCGATTAATAAAAAGTGTAACAGTGTGGGCCAGGAACAGTGGCTCATACCTGTAATCTCTGTGCTTTGGGAGGCTGAGGAGAAAGAATTGCTTGAGGCCACGAGTTCGAGGCTGCAGTGAGCTGCACTCCAGCCTGTGCAACAAAGCAAGACTCTGCCTCAGAAAAAAAAAAAAAAAAAAAAGGAAAGAGAGAGAAAAAGGTAACAGACTGGTGTTTTGCATTTTGAGTTTGTTTGGTTTTAAATAATGGTCACTGAACAAGAATGATCTCTGGTTGAAGTTTTGGCAAAACAGAAAGTGAAGATCATTAACATAAAGATGCATTTTATATTGAACGTCACTAAAATCCAAGAGCATGAAACATTCTCATTGGAAACGATGTTTAAGTAAATTTCTCTTTGAAAATTGCATAATATTCTTAGATTTTATAAGTAAAACATTACAGAAAAATGCAAAGTACCAAAAAATGTTCCAGGAAAATGGAAATTACCCAAATCCCATGACCCAAACACTACTAGTATCTACCTTCTTTCCACACTGTCTGTCTCAGGTCTGTTCTCTCACTACAGTGAGAGCCCCAAGAGGCCAAGGGGGCTTCTATTATTGCATCCTCAGTACTTTGCTCAGATTCTAGCTTTCTTAAAGTCACTAGGCATGATTTATTACTGATAATACTGGTAACAGAATCATTACAGACATCAATGATTGTATTATAACTATAGCCTCAGGAAGTCCTGAGATACAGAGAGGCAGTTTGTCCCTCCACTCAATAGGCCGCAGCCCTCGCTGTTTTGACCCATCTTGTATCTCCTTTTGTTTGTATATTTATAAACCATTCCCAGTGAGTTGACACTTCTAATCTGACCTATGCATAGATACTAGAAAATAAAGTTGGCTACATATATATGATCACAGAACTCCCCTGCCTGAAAGCCTCTGCTCTTAGAACCTAAGGCCAACTCCTGATGGTCCCTAGATCTATCTGGTTAGCTCCATTTCATTCCCCTCCCCCGGCCTCCCAAGCTCCACATTACTTTTTGGCTCTCTGAATGCTGTCTCCCTTACTTAGTTATTCCCATTCAACTTTCCAATGTCAGCTCAAATGTCACTTTCTGGTGGAAACTTTCTTGGCTTCTCAAACTAGGCCAGGTCACCCGGTACGGACGCCAGTACCTTCCTCGCACAGGTCTTACCAGGTGGTGATTTTACACTTCCATCTGTGCTTCTGTCTTTACATGATTAGATTATTGTATCCCCAGGGCCTAGCATTTGTAGACGTCTCATTCATCAGATAGTTTTTAAGTGCTGGCAGCATGCCAGGCATTACAATAGGCCCTCATTCTGATTGATTTAAATTCCCTCTTCCAGGCAAGTGAGGTGCTGCTATATTAAGACTAAGCCGGCCCGGTGGCTGATGCCTGTAAACCCAGCACTTTGGGAGGCCCAGGCAGGTGGATTACCTCAGGTAAAGAATTTGAGATCAGCCTGGACAACATAGTGAGACCCTGTCTCTACCAAAAAAAAAAAAAACAAAGTTAGCCCAGGCCTGGTGGCGCCTGCCTGTATGCCCAGCTACTCAGGAGGCAAGGCTGGAGAATCGCTCGAAAGGTAGAGGTTGCAGTGAGCTGAGATTGCACCATTGTACTCCAGCCTGGCCGGTAAGAGCAAAACTCCACTAAAAAATAAAAAGATTTACTACTAAGAATGACTGCAGGACCTGAAGCTCAACTAATAGCTTACTCATAAAATCACGTCATAAGCAATAGAAATATGGTTTGCTCCTGTGTAAAGCAAAATTTTATAAAATAGCATGCTTTAAAAGCATGTCACCGCCAGTCACGACTGTTCAAAGTCACTGAATGTTCTGTAAAATAAACGTCCATTTGTAAAGCCAATATTCATCGCCTAGGTTATAGTCTTTTCAGGGTATATTTTCATGTATCAAGTTTATGAGAGAACCAAACATCTCTAAAAATCTCTCCAGTAAAGCCTTTTGATATGACAAAATACCCTGATATATATTCTGTATAGAAGGCAACTGAGACGCAGGGGCACTCGGGTGACCTCGTAAGGGTCGAATGTATAGCGGAAGGTGAGACCAGACGCGCGTAGTCCCCGGCCGAGCTAACGCCACCCTTCCAACCTAGTGTCCTCCCGCGCCCTCCAGGCCCCTTCCTCCCCTTCAGACCTGCGGGTCCCCAGAGCCAAGGCGCCCGCCTGCCAAAGGATACCGGGAGTCCTCCGCGCCCGGCGCCAGCCTCCAGCCCGCGCTCCCGGGGAGGTCGGGAGCGTTCCCACCTCCGTCCTCTGCCAAGCTCAGCGGGGCTCTGAGGCAGCCGGGAGGGAGGTGACAGTCGCGCAGGCCGGGCCACGCCGCGCAGAGCTAGTGCGCTCGAAGGCGGCGCAGGCGGAGAGGAAGGAGCGCGACTGCGCCCCCTGCCCGTAGCCACCACGGCCCGTGCCCCCGCGGGTGTCCCGGGGACCCGAAGTCCCCAGCCAGCAGCGCCCGAGGGCAGCCGAGGCCTCCTCGCCACTCTCCCGCCTCCTCCTTCCCTTGCCGGCCGGAAGACGAGGCTCTCCGCTAGGGGGAGCGCGCCGAGGCCCCGTGTGACCGCCTCGACTATGCCTGCCCCGGGGCTGGGGGCCACTCTCGCTGTTAATGGGTGCCCGCGGGCAGCCTCCGGGCTAAGAGCTGGGGCTCCGATCCGAGTGTTTGAGTAAACGAGTCGATATCATTAATCATGATAATTGCACAAAAGAAAATAGGAAAGAAACCCCCGGCCCTGGCGCCCGACCAGGCCAGCCTTGGCTCGGAGCCACCGGTCCTTCTGGGTTTTGGGGGCAGCTGGCAAGAGGGAGCCTGGCAGAGGGGGCGGCTGCAGGTCCGACTGAACTGACCGGGGCGGCGCGCTCGTGACACCTGGCGGCGGCCGGGACCCGGGTGCAGGCGTGCAGGGGAAGGCGACAGCCGCCGCGCGCTGGTTGCCGGACCCTGCCCAGCGTGGCGTGGAGACCGACGGCCTCACAGGGGTCACCGGTATTCACATGACACCTCCTAATCGAGCTTTGTTCACCAGAGGGCTAGGCCTTTTTCTCCCCGGCGCTTCTCTTCCCTCCGCAACCCAGTTCTTCCCCCTACTCCTTCCCGGGAGAGCGGTTACCCATGCAGTGGCCTCCATCCGGACGCCACGGGGCTCCGGAGAGACGATGATCCCTGGCAACCCAGGCTGGTATCTAATTAAATAAAATGTTTGAATGCCCAGCTGGCTGCGCGTAGAGTGGCAGCAGGCCGGGTCCGCGGCGCTCAGGTGCCCAGTGGAGGGTCAGACACTCAAGGCGCGCAGCTGGCCGCCACCTCGGCCCCTGCCCCCGCCCCGGGGTACCTCTGGCCGGTCCGGCTAAGTCGGGTCGCTGCCGCCCCGGCGGAACCCGGCTCCGGACCCGGATCGCAGCGTCCAGCACGCGGCCCGCGAGACGCCTCCGGTTACCCTGGGACCGTCGTCCCGCGTCCCATCGGAGCGCGCGGGGACAGCGCTGTGGACTGCGGTGCCCGGCGACGGGTCGTCGGATATCATTGACAGCACCTTCCTTTCAAGGTGCTTTATGCCTGCCCTCTGCACGTGCGGAGGACAGGGTGACCAACGCAAAAAACTGAGCCGTGCTTCCAGACCCGAGCGCCCCTCTGTTGGGCATCTGTCGTGTTTATCTGTTCCCCGAAAGTGGTGACCGAAAAGTAAATAAATGGGAGAGAGGTGGTAAAAACCTGGCAGGATTTCCGCTTGTCCTGTCGCGAACTACATATCCCAGGGAGCCCGGGGCGCCGGGACGCGTGTCCATCCCGCCATCCACTAGGAGAAGCCCTTACTGAGCCTGGCGCGACGCACCGGCCAATCCCCTCGCCCTACACCTTGGCTGTAACCTGAGACGGATTCGCTCCCAAATGATGCTCCGTTGGCAGAAGCAAATCAAGTTCATCATTGTCCCGACCGAGAAAGAGGAGCAGCGCGGTTCTTGGCCGGGTCAGGAGAACGCCTGGCGACCCTCACCTGCGCGAGCCGCGGCACCGGCTGTAATTGTCCTGGGGCGGCGGAGACCCGCGCGCCGGCCCTGCACGCCAGGCGGCACCCTTTGCAGTTAGCTACCGCGATCCTCCGGCTTGCCCCTGCCGAAGAAGCCTCGGCTGCTTTTGTGAGCCTCTGACACTTCATTTATCCCTGGATCATTTCCAGAGTCCGTCTTGTAAATGTTTAGCATTTTGCTGCTTTATTGCTTCTTTCTGGGGACAGTTCCAACACTCGCCGAGACAGGCAGAGAAAGGCAGCTGAGCCCGGAGAAGAGCGAAATATGGGGACCCGGGCTAAAAGCACACGTCGTCCTTCCCGCCCGCTATTTCTATATTCAGGCGGTGGATACATCAGGGAATAAGTAAGTCGAGAAATGGCTCCTTACCTATTTTGGATGGCAGTTAAATCTGTTTCTCCCTTCAAGTTTTTTCTCTCCAATAACTCGTTTCTCTACAGCAGTTTAAATTCCAGGATATTTGGGTACCAGTTTTTCTCTGTAGATGTAGAAATAGTTCCGAATTATAATATATGCAGTATAATGTATTGTATATAAAATATAAGATAATCTCCTAGCAATTTCTATTGAGATTCCCACATTATCAGGACAAGACAAAGTCCCTCCACTTTTCTAGAAATAACTATTTCTAACTACTTTCCGTTTATATAAGCTGTTATAAGGAATGTAAGCCTAGTTGTTAGAGACTTGATGGGCTTCATCTTTCCCTGGTGCGGCCCTCAATTTTCAAGGAGACATCTGCAGGTAAGCATGTTTTGAAAGTGAAAAAGACAAGTGAAGTACTATTTGAAACTTTAGAGTTCTGAAGGAAATTATCAAAGAATGCATCTCCTATGTGATTGGAACATATATTTCATTCCGATGAATTTAATACTTAACATCATCCTTAAAACTTGGTTTCATGTTTCATATGCTTCTGAAATGATTGTCTTTATTATTGGTAGATGCTGACCGTGTGTATTTTGTACAGAAAAAAATTGTAATTAAGGGTTGTCAAATCAAAGAAAAGGCAGCATGGTTGTAAATTTTGTCATTTGGGAAAAGATGATACACTACCTACTACTTTGCTCTGGCCCATGGTTGTGCATGATTTTTTATCTTTTTATTCAAGATAAGATTTCACTTCCTAGGCCAGTCTAGAGTGCAGTGGTGCAATCACAGCTCACTGTACCCTTGACCTCCCAGGCTCAAGCTATCCTCCCACCTCAGCCTCCTGAGTAGCTGGGACTACAGGCATGTGCCACCTCACCTAGTTATTTATTTATTATTATTATTTTTTTGTAGAGACAGGATCTTGTTGCCTAGGCTGATCTCGAACTCCTGGCCTCAAGCAATCTTCCCACCTTGGCCTCCCAAAGTGCTGGGATAGTAGGCATGGGCCACAGTGCCAGCCCTGAGCGTGATTTATAATGCAGATATTGTAAAGAATCGTTGGCAGAGATTTTTCAAAATAAGATCATTATCTTTCGGAGCACCATTTGATCGCAAATATCCAGATGTGATGGCATGAAATAAATAGGTTGGTAAGAATATTTTTCTATACGAAATGCATGAGTATGTTCTATGCTTACATAGATTAGTAGTCTTAATATATTCCATTGTGATTGTTTAATGAAACTGTTTCATGTTATCTTGGCCATTGTCATCCTCATTTTTTTTTTAATCTCTGATCCAACATATTCATTCTGGTACTAAAAGCATAAGAGAAAAGAAGCAATCATATATTAGAGGAAGAATGTGGAAGAGAATAATCAAGTTTCCAGACTGAAGAGTATAACCTTTGTTTGTTTGTTCCTTAAAATAATCTGTATATCTTCCCCATTGCTCTTTTCATCACAGATTCACATCTTCTCCAGGTGAAAAAGTCTTTCAGGTGAAAGTCTCAGCCCCAGAGGAGCAATTCACTAGAGTTGGAGTCCAGGTTTTAGACCGAAAGGATGGATCTTTCATAGTCAGATACAGAATGTATGCAAGCTACAAAAATCTGAAGGTGGAAGTTAAATTCCAAGGTCAACATGTCGCCAAATCCCCATATATGTTAAAAGGTAATTTGGAACTAATTTTATAACCTTGACCTCCCAGGCTCAAGCTATCCTCTCACCATTCAAATCCCAGCAGTATTTGAAAAAAATAATAAGTGTTATTTCATCAACAAAAATAACTTATATATATACACATATATATATAACTGAAAGAAAAAAAATAAAGACTTTCTACTTGAAAGCCAAGTTATGAGTCCTGGTAAAAAGACATTCAAGATTTGAAGGGAAATTCAAATTTACTAAAGAGCAAGGAACATATTAATAGAGAATTTACTCTGTGAAGCTATATATTAATCAAGCTGTGTGCATGTTCATATATGATACTTTCTTAATTGGAAATATATGGAATTGAAGAATTACTTTTGCTTCTTTTTGTTGCTATTATTGTTCTTGAGACAAGGTCTCACTCTGTTGCCCAGGCTAGAGTGCAGTGATGCAAGATCAACCTCCTGGGTTCAAGCTATCCTCCCACCTCAGCCACTCCCACCTGAGTGGCTGGGACTACAGGTGCTCACCACCATGCCCCACTAATTTTTGTATTTTTTGTAGAGACAGGGTTTTGCTTTGTGGCTCAGGCTGGTCTCGAACCCCTGAGCTCAAACGATCTACCCTCGGCCTCCCAAAGTGTTGGGATTACTCACCTACTTTTGCTTCTTACTAATTCTTTAAAAAAAAAAAAGAAGAAGAAAAAGAATAGCAATTCCTTGTTTATTTTCACTGTTACTAATGATTTACTTATTGAGAAAAGTACCTTAGATGCTTTAAGAACCTGTTTGTATAATTGACCATCAAAATGTTAAATCATATCATTTTTGTCTTTCATTAAAATAAATATACTCCTCTGATAACCTTTTACCAGAATTTGGTTATTCTTCGGTCTATAGAACATAAAGAATAATGAACTGTAATATATACTATAGACATAAACCAAGTATCTATTGGCTTTCATTTTTTATTTATTTATTTTTTTTTTTTGAAGCAGATTCTTTCTCTGTCACCTAAGCCAAAGTGTAGTGGCACAGTCTCGGCTCACTGCAACCTTCACCTCCTAGATTCAAGCTATTCTCATGCCTCAGCCTCCCAAGTAGCTGAGACTTCAGGCGTGTACCACCACACCTGGCTATACTTTTTTTTTTTTTGAGATGGAATCTTGCTCTATCGCCCAGGCTGGAGTGCAGTGGCACAACCTCAGCTCACTGTAGCCTCTGCCTCCCGGGTTCCAGCAATTCTCCTGCCTCAGCCTCCTGGGTAGCTGGGATCACAGGCTCATGCTACCACACCTGGCTAATTTTTGTATTTTTAGTAAAGATGAGGTTTCAACATGTTGGCCATGCTGGTCTCAAACTCCTGACCTCAAGTGATCCACCCACCTGGGCTTCCCAAGGTGCTGGTATTAGAGACTTGAGCCACCTCGGCATGGCTATCTGCTTTCTTTTGAACTCATGCAAAGTCGACCTTATTATGAAAATATCACAAGACTTTACTGTGAAGAACTGTCAGAACAGAAGGCTGACTTACTTCCAATGCCCCCAGTGTAGTAAAAATGTGTTACTATTTTTTTTTTTGAGACTGTCTCACTGTCTTGCCTAGGGTGGAGTGGTGCAAATGTGGCTCACTACAGCTTCAACCTCCTGGGCTCAAGTGATCTTCAGCCTCCCAAGTAGCTGGAACCACAGCTGCCTGCCACTACTCCCATCTAATTTTTTATTTTTTGTAGAGACAGGGTCTCTCTGTGTTGCCCAAGCTGGTCCCAAACTCCTGGGCTCAGGCTATCCTCCTACCTCAGCTTCCCAAAGTGCTGGGATTACAAGTGTGAGCTAACCTGGCTGGCCTGTGTTTCTTTTAAAATGTGTTTTCAATGAAAATGCTATTATGTAACCAGGCAAAACTCATGAAGCCACATGATGGATATTTGTTACAAGTTTCAAATGCTGAGTGAAATTATCTCTGTTGTACTTTGCTGTTCTTTTGTAAATAGGGCCGGTTTACCATGAGAATTGTGACTGTCCTTTGCAAGATAGTGCAGCCTGGCTACGGGAGATGAACTGCCCAGAAACCATTGCTCAGATTCAGAGAGATTTGGCACATTTCCCCATAGTGGATCCAGAAAAGATTGCAGTAGAAATCCCAAAAAGATTTGGACAGAGGCAGAGCCTCTGTCACTACACCGTAAAGGATAACAAGGTACAACATACAGTTCAGGTTTCCTTGATTGTTTTAGTGTTTTTTGAGTTTCTTTTTTTTTTTTTTGCTTGTTTTGGCTATAATTAGCTAACTCCTTCTACAAACATCATTCTGATGAGCCTTGTGACAAGCTTTTCCTCAGTGAAATCTGCCAGTGTTTTCAGACTAACATAATACATGGTAAATTCTCTTTTAGGTTTATATCAAGACTCACGGTGAACATGTAGGTTTTAGAATTTTCATGGATGCCATACTACTTTCTTTGACTAGAAAGGTAAGTATATATGTTCTCTTAGCTGTAATAGATCATTTAATCCCAGATTTTACATGTACAAATTATAACACTATCGGGGTGTTCTCTTCTGGAGCCTTATGATAATGTTATTCTGAAGCTTTATGTTATGTCAGGTACCTGTGTTAGTTTCCTAGGGCTGCTGTAACAAAGTGCTACAAACTGGAAGGCTTAAAATAGCAGAAATGTATTCTCTCACAGGTATGGAGGCCAAATGTCCAAAATCAAAGTGTCAGCCAGGTGGCATGGCTCACACCTGTAATCCTAACACTTTGGAAGGCCAAGGCAGGTAGATCACTTGAGCCCAGGAGTTCAAGACCAGGCTGGGTAACATGGTGAAACCCCATCTCTACAAAAAATACAAAAATTAGCCTGCTGTAGTTTCAGCTACTTGGGGAGCTGACGCAGGAAGATCACTTGAACCTAGGAGGTCGAGGCTGCATGAGGCAAGATCGATTGCACCACTGTACTCCTACCTGGGTGACAGTGAAACCCTGTCTCAAAAAAAAGGAAAGTGTCAGGAGACCCAGCTCCCTCTGAGATGATCCTTTCCTTTCCTGCCTCTTCTTAGCTGCTGCTGGTGGCTCTCCATCTTTGGTGTTCCCTGGTTTGCAGCTGCATCACCCATCTCTGCCTCTGTTATCACGTGGGCTTCTCCCCTCATGTCTCTGGGTTTCTTCTTCTTATAAGGACACAGCATAGTAGATTAATGGCCCAGCCTACTCCAGTATAACCTCATGCTAACTAATGACATGGGCAACTACCCTATTTCTAAATAAGGTCATTCTGAAACACTAGGATTTAAGACTTCAGCCTGTCTTTTGCAGGGACACAATATTTGATAGAGGAAAGAAAAATGCCTTATCATAACATTATTTTAGTACTAAACTAACTTTGAGTCCAAAGAGGATTTGCCTTCTACTGAACCCATTCCTTGGGATAATGGGCTTTTGTCCGGCTCTGGTGGAATACTTTGAAAGTGATGTTAAAATGGCAGATGTGAAAGACCGTACCAGCATTTTTACCAAATGTATATTTATTTATAGTCTGGTATAACATTTATTGAATAATTTGTATGCATATCTTGATTAAACTACTCATGGAAAATCATAGTGCCTTTTCGAGATTGCAAAGCACTTACGGTCTGTTAATTCTGGATGTAGGTAGTTATTCAGCATCATATAACTTAGTCTTTAGACTAAGACACGAGAGTACTGACCCACTTCTCTTGCTCCTCTGTGTCGATCCATGGGAAAACGAGAATGTTCTTTAGGACTTCAGTTTCTCAAAATGCATCTCAGACTGATCAGTGCTGTTCTGGCCTTAAAGATATGTATCTCTTGTTTCATAGATACTCTAAACATAAAAATATATATCATAAAAATATGTATCCTTAAAAATATATATCTCTTGTTTCATAAATACTCTAAACATTTTCTGTGAGTAGATAAAACAGGTCCTCTTTACATATTCATGCCAGTTGCCAGTAGAGGAAGGAAGCATAGCTTAAAACTTACTGTGTCGGCCTTGGTGTTAGGGTTCCTGAGTTCAAATCCTGGTCCCACCCCCTTCCTTTTGTATGTTTTTGTAAAATGGAAGCATCTGGCTCACAAGAAACTAGGGTTAGAGTCCCAAGTGCTAATTTTAAAATTATTTTCCAATAATTCTCTTTCTTTCTTTGATCATCTTAAAGTCTCTTGGCAGTATTAGAACAGAGATTACTTTTGCCATTTCATATCTTTTGTAGGGAGCATAGAATGTTTATATATGTGACCATATTCTGAAAATGTATCCACTATTCAAACCAAGGTAATTACTGTTACCTGAAAAATGTTACATTGACCTTTCATTAATGCAACTTCAAATTTAAATTGATAAATACAATGTATTATCTAATGCAGGAAATGCAAATAAGCTCTTCGTTTTGTTTTTTCTAGGTGAAGATGCCAGATGTGGAGTTCTTTGTTAATTTGGGAGACTGGCCTTTGGAGAAGAAGAAATCCAATTCAAACATCCATCCAATCTTTTCTTGGTGTGGCTCCACAGATTCCAAGGATATTGTGATGCCCACCTACGACTTGACTGACTCTGTTCTAGAAACCATGGGCCGGTGAGAGATGAGTCAGGGTTGGCCCAGAGCCTTGGTTTTCTTTCTTTGGTGAGTTCTTTTCCAACAACCTTTGTGATAGGATGATTTGGGAGGAAAATCTGTTGCACTTTGTCTTCTAGGGTAAGTCTGGATATGCTGTCTGTGCAAGCTAACACGGGTCCGCCCTGGGAAAGCAAAAACTCCACAGCTCTCTGGAGAGGGCGAGACAGCCGCAAAGAGAGACTCGAGCTGGTTAAACTCAGTAGAAAACACCCAGAACTCATAGATGCTGCTTTCACCAACTTTTTCTTCTTTAAACACAATGAAAGCCTATATGGTCCCATTGTGAAGCACATTTCATTTTTTGATTTCTTCAAGGTATGACTTAATCAGTGGCTAATCTTTTTTGTTTTGTAATATATTTGTACATAGTGCTTTGGGAAGGGAAATTGAGGCCTGCAAGTTACAAGAGGTGGGAGAAATTGGCATAAAACAGTGAATATTGTGGCATGGCGGTGCTGGGGACTAGTTTGGCAACCAGGCTCTGCCCTCACTGCCCGGTCTTCGCATTAAATGTGTATCAAGGGAGTTTGGAGGCTAGATAGAGCTATAATTTTTTTTTCCAGCTAACCCTTGAGATAAGTATATGTCACCTCCAAATTCATTTTTATTAATACACACATGTAGGTCATTTCACAAATACTTTTCCCCAGAGCCATGTTATCACATCAGAATAAGTAAGATATAAACTACTTGTTTCTTTTTAGGCCTGGTTGGGAATGCCTTGAAACCCATCCAGTGTTCTGCCTGGGAATTAGGGTTTCCTTTATGTGTCTAGAATGTGGATTGCTCATGTTTCCTAGGGAGTAATCCTTTTTCTAACAACTCCCTTTTTAATGCAGTAGGCAGCACCCTGCTCTTTAGACCGTAGAGTTGTTTCTGAAGTCCCACATGGTACAAAGAGGAGGTGGGAAAAATGTCATCATCTGTCCTCTATATGTGGAAAGGCAAGTGATTAGTGAGTTTTGTCTGCCCTGTGGATGACCAGGTTTTCTTTTAATGGGTTGTGTGGAGGCACGTTGACCTAAAAAATGTTATAAGTTGAATTGTCAGTATTTTTCTATATGCATATCTCAACAATTTTTGAAAGAAATGATTATAACCAAAGTGAAAGGATACTAGCCATCCTTCCTCGGTGTAGGGCGCTGCTTCATGCCTTAGCTTTATTTGTACCTGTTGAATTTTCTGCAACTAAAGATGATAGATTACCAAAGTTCTATGAATATTTCTATTCATAGGGTTCTTGCTACAAAGCTTACTAATTTCTTTAAGACACATGTGGCCATCTGGTGTTTAAAAAATATGGTTAGCCAGGCACAGTGGCTCATGCCTGTAACCCCAGCTCACACCTGTAATCCCAGCACTTTGGGAAGCTGAGGTGGGTGGGTCACCTGAGGTCAGGAGTTCGAGACCAGCCTGGCCAACATGGTGAAACGCTGTCTCTACTAAAAATACAAAAATTAGCCAGGCGTGTGGTGCATGCCTATAATCCCAGCTACTTGGGAGGCTGAGGGACAAGAATCACTTGAACCCAGGAGGCGGAAGCTGCAGTGAACTGAGATTGCAACACTGCACTCCAGCCTGAGCAACAGAGCGAGACTCTCTCGAAACAAACAAACAAATAAATAAATAAATAAAACAGTTAACATGGCTTAGAATATGCCATCATTAGGGGCACATTTGCAATCAATAAAGTAGTAAGAGAATTACAAAATATCACAAATAAATGCATTCTTCCTTATATTGCAGCCTTAGGACAACAGTGTGATCTTATTAACTGCTTCGACACTAGATTTGTATCCTCCTTTGTAAAATTTAGTAGCAAATCAAAATGAGCATTTAGCTGTAGATCACCTGTGGTATAATACTTACTAAATGGCAAAGGCAGAGCGCAGAAGCTGGCCAAAGTGTCCCAGGATTGCAAGGGTTTATGTGTGGGATGAGAAGGGGAATCGAGTGGAGAAAAGGAAATTTAATGGAGGTTCTTAGACTTTACTATTGTTTTGCAGCATAAGTATCAAATAAATATCGATGGTACTGTAGCGGCTTATCGCCTGCCGTATTTACTAGTTGGTGACAGTGTTGTGCTGAAGCAGGACTCCATCTACTATGAACATTTTTACAATGAGCTGCAGCCCTGGAAACACTACATTCCAGTTAAGAGCAACCTGAGCGATCTGCTAGAAAAACTTAAATGGGCAAAAGATCACGATGAAGAGGTAAGGTCAGTCCCCTCGAAGGCTTATTTCCACTCGTTTCCGAATATCCTGGGTCCCTTTGAAATGTATTATCCCTGTAGAGCATCCAGGATGCCCACATCCTAGACTTTGGCCTGTAAATGACAAGCTGCCTGCCCATGGATGGCACAGCAGTTCCCCTGGGCTGAACACAGCAGACACTGCATCTTACATTAACTGTCCACTCTGCATGTCAAACAAAAAGCTAGGCCAGGCATGGTGGCTACACCTGTAATCCCAGCACTTTGGGAGGCCGAGGAGGGCAGATCACCTGAGGTCAGTTTGAGACCAGCCTGGACAACATGGTGAAACCCCATCTCTACTGAAAATACAAATATTAGCTGGGGCTTGGTGACAGGCGCCTATAATCCCAGCTTCTCAGGAGAGTGAGGCAGGAGAATTGCTTGAACCTGGGAAACGGAGGTTATAGTGAGCCAAGACCGCACTATTGCACTCCGGACTGGGCAACAAGAGTGAAACTCCTTCTCAAAACAACAACGAAAAGCTAAACTGTGGCATTGACTACACTTTCTCTGTCAGTAGGGTTGCTCTGAGCCACAAGTATTGCCTCCACCAGCAATGCAAAAATTATAAGATGGCCAGTCTGGCAGGAGCCACTAACTGGCTACAGGTTCAAATGAAGGATTGATTCAGAAGTAGATGCAGACATAAATGTATAAATAAGTAAAGAGGCATGGAATGCAATTAACTTTAAGCTAATTGCTGAAATTTGTGAAGGCAGAGTGCTAACCTTCAATCTTAAGTTTACAAAATCATTGTTACTTTGCTTGGTGTAGCCTTGTCTCTCTAAGAGAGGCTTAATTCTAGAAGGTCCAATATGATTTCTCGAACTTTCAAGTCTTAGAAACTTCCCTCTGATTTAAACAAACATACTGTGTTAAACATTGTTTTATCACGAGACTACCCACAAAGATACTGTCCCAATGTGTATGCACTCCGAAGAGCAGTCTGCAGATGCCTGCATGGAAAAAATGGATTCTATTAAAGAATTTTGTTGTTGTTCTTTCTGTAGGCCAAAAAGATAGCAAAAGCAGGGCAAGAATTTGCAAGAAATAATCTCATGGGCGATGACATATTCTGTTATTATTTCAAACTTTTCCAGGTCAGTATTTTCTAAATCATCATATAACTTATAATTAGACATATTAAGAACAAATAATATTTTACTTAGCAATTTCTAAACATATGTTACTATAAGGAGATATATATATACTTCTATGGGTGAAAATCAGAGACAAATATTAAGTAATCATTTTTAAAAAGTTGAAAACCAAAGATTAACTAATGGAAAATGTTATAATATTAAGTGAGAAGCATTAATATGAGAACTATGTGATGTTTGACTAAGAAATTGGCCTCCAATATTGCGAAGTTACGGTTCGTGGATTTGCATTTTCTCTTTGTGTTACATTGCTGCTGCCTTACCATTTCTTTGTCTAAAAGTGCCAGGTGGGTTTGGGCCTCCATATGAGCCATGACTTCCCTTGGAAATTATTTCTATGGACCCAAGCATTTAGAGATTGTAGTCAAGCATATCTGATGATTTGAAGGACTCTTTTAAAAATGTGGTAATGACCAGGTGCCTGTAATCCCAGCACTTTTGGAGGCCAAGGCAGGCAGATCATTTGAGGTTAGGACCAAGACCAGCTTGGACAACATGGTGAAACCCCATCTCCTCTAAAAATACTAAAATTAGCCAGGTGTGGTGGTGCCTGCCTATAATCCCAGCTACTCAGGAGGCTGAAGCAGGAGAATCACTTGAACCCAGGAGGTGGAGGTTGTAGTGAGCCAAGATCGCACCACCGCACTCCAGCCTGGATGACAAGAGGGAGACTGTCTAAAAAAAAAATTTTTTTAATGCGGTAGTAAACAAGTTCTTGGCCAATAATTGTACTAGATCTAGAGTAAGATTTTTATCTCACAGTTACTGCTACTGAGCCCCATAACTGAGACTCCGCTATACATCAAAATTGGTATATTTCTGGTCTGCACTGGCTCCTCCCCATTTTGTAAACTTCCCTTGATGGAGGGATGCAGAGGATAAGCCATGTAGAATGAATGAACTGGGGGGATTTATCATGTGAATTGCTAAGGATCCATGGGGCAGTTTTCATTCATTGAGCTTGTATTTAGCATAGGTACTTAGCACAGTGCCTTACTCAGAGTAAGCACATGATAATTGAAGATGATGATGGCGGCTTGTGCAAACCATGATAAGGAAGGCAGAATAGTCTCTGTCTCCACATTCTCAGTCTAGGGAAGATTGTGTACAAAATTATTTTTACTGTAAGGCAGAAGATGGTTTAAAAAAAGTCATGGAAATTTAGGAGAGAATAATGAGATGTCTGTTAGAAATAGGCAGCCAGTATTCAAAGGACAGCCTCCTCTCAGATGCTCTACTGTTGGTGTTTAGGACGGGTATATATGATGGACTATGCAGATCACAGTTTGACACACATAAATTAAATAAATCATAGTCTTCATAAATTCTAGCCTGTCTCATTGGGCGGATATACTTAAAGTGTTATATAAAGAATGCTTTTATATTGTTGCTTAAACAGGAATATGCCAGTTTACAAGTGACTGAACCCCAAATCCGAGAGGGCATGAAAAGGGTAGAACCACAGACAGAGGATGACCTCTTCCCTTGCACTTGCCACAGGAAAAAGGTAACCATAAATGAGCTGATGGCCAGTGGCAGAGTAAGAACTAACATTGATCCAAACTTGCATTCATTCCTATAGTCACTCAATCAGGCTGCAAATATTTGACTTCCTCTCGAGGCCTCCAAGCAATTCAGTCCACCGGAGAGACAGGTATAGAAGATAGCAGTGCTCAAGAAAGGACGCTACAATGCAGTTAATTGAGAAGACTTGGTAGTTCCGTGGCAAAGTGGAGGGAAGCCTTTTATAATGTCAGAATCCAGCTCACACCCTGTTTGAATGGATGCTTACAGTTGGGAAAATATTTTCACGCGTATTATCTGATGCCCTCATTTCCTCATGAGATAAGTTTGGCAAAGTTCATCATCCCAGTTTAGAGAAGGAAAAAGATGTAACTGTGATTATTGATGTTTTCCAATTCCTCATTGGAAATTGGTTGATACCACTACATAAGGATCTCATTGATAAAAATTAAAGTCAGATTCACCTCTGGACTTTTAAGGTAAAAAGGACCTTAGAGGTCATCCAGTAAATGCCTTCATTTTATGGTTAATAAAACCGAGCCCAAAAAAGAATTATGCTCGGAATCATCTAGCTGGTTTATAGCAAAGCAAAAACCTTCTCAACATCAGATTGTGATTGTGTGTGCTTGTATATAAAGATATAGTGTAGCAGGGGTCTCTTGCTTTGATTATGAATTTTGTTTGCTTGAAGGAATGTAAATTGCATAAACTAGAGTGTATATGTGTGTGACATATGCTGGCTTGATGTTATTTTAAACAACATAATTAGGTTTCTGAATGGACAAATTCAAAATTGTGGTATTACAACCAAAGAGAAGAAGGCAGACTTGGCCATTCTTATGTCTACCTCTTAAGAGATTGTAAAAGTAATCAAGGCCCCACTGATGTGACAGAACCAGAACAGCTTATATGAGCTCACCCATTGATACATTTTCAGGAATTTTGCATACTGATTAAATGTTTGCTTGGAATCAGCCTGATAGGTGTATTTACACCGTGACAGCACATGCTACAAATCAGAATTTTGGTTGCTTTATTTTTGTCTTTGTTTTTTGGGGAACTGATTTACGAATAACCAACTGGCCCCCAGAGGTGGTTCATCACCACTGTTAACTCTATCAGTACTCCAAGGCCGTAAAAATCCATTAAAACCAATGACAAAACAAGAATTGCCAAATCGAAAGGTACCCCCTCACCAGTCCATGAGTTGGTATCAGAACACTTCTCACTTTGGCTCCAAGTGACACTGGGCAGCTTCCTTGCTCCACTCCTGCTCAATTATTTGTCTTCACCTAAGTGATTGAGAGGAGGTAACAGTCAGTATCTTCCACTGATTAGCAGAAGATAGGGGCCAGAATGGTAGCCTCGTGATTTCTTCCTAACCCCTCACTGCTACTGTTCATAACACGAGGCCTTTACAGTAGTACAGCCCATGGATGTTTCGGTTCCTTATCAGTAGGCTATGAAACACAATCTGATTCTACCCTAAGCTGATGCTGGACCTCTGGAAATAGTCTCAAGCCCTGAGAGTCTCTACCAACAGTTTGGCTTCCTCTCATTTTTGTTGGAAAATAATTAACAAATTAATGTAAATCTTCACTCATGTAAGACTTCTTGATAGCTCTAAATATTTTGCTTCTTAATTGCAGACCAAAGATGAACTCTGATGTGCAAAATAACTTCTATTAAAATAATGGTGCTCTGAAGACTCTTCTTAACCAAAAAGAAGAATTTTTTTTAAGTATTAATTCCATGGACAATATAAAATCTGCTGTGTGATTGTCTGCAGTATGAAGATACATTTCTGCTTATGATGCAGTATTCTCATGACTGTACTTTAAAGTACATTTTTAGAATTTTATAATAAAACCACCTTTATTTTAAAGTCCTATGTTGTGCTAATTATTAGCTGTGTTTGGAACAGGGAGCAGTAAAAATAGGGAATCTGAATCCTTGACTCACAGTAGCCCAGACTACCTGCGCAGACTGGTTTTAAATGACATAGCAATAAACCCTTTCTCCTTTTAAGTCCATATTATTGTGAGTATTCAGCCAAACTTACTTCTAGCTAATACATCGTAAGAGACTTGTCATTATATGACCTTCATCTGCATCTTTAGTCAAATCTCTCAGCACTTTCTAATGTCAACCCTGTCCTTTGGAAAAACAAGTCCCATTCCTGTTCTCTCAATGCCTGTGTCCTTACCTTTCTGGCCCATGCCTTTCCCTTGTCTGGAATGTCTTAACCCTCTCTTCTTCATTCAGCTTAGACATCCTTCAGTACATATTTTACCCTTACTAGCTTTTAAGTGCCATGACTTCAGAGACCAAGCCTTTCTTCTGGGTAGTCCTAAGGTCTAATAGAGTGCCAGCAACTAAAAAGACTGAATAAATATTGAATGAGTGATATGTTTTTGATGTCTGTCCCTTCCAAATTTCATGTTGAAATGTTATTCCAAGTGGTGGAGGTGGGACCTGGTGGGAGGTGTTCATATCATAGGGGTGGATCCCTCATGAATGACCTGGCACCGTCCTTTCAGTAACAAGTAAGTTCTTAGTGTGAGTTCACATGGTCTGGTGGTTTTAAAAGGTGTGACACCTCCCCGTCTCTCTGTCTTGCTCCCTCTCTTGCCACATGATACGTTGGCTACCCTTTGCATTGCGTGATGATTGAAAGCTTCCTGAGGCCCTCACCAGAAGCAGATGCTGGCACCACATTTTCTATACAGCCTGCAGAACCATGAACCAAAATAAATCTCTTTTCTTTATAAATTACCCAGCCTCAGGTATTTCTTTATAGCAACACAGAAACGGCCTTAACACAATGGGTAAATGAATGAATGAAAATCACTTTGAAATGCAGTTTAAAGAATTAAAAAAGAACTAGAAATATTAACACTAAACCATATATCATATTCTACAAATTCCTTTACCTAATATTCCCTTCTATTCATCTTCCAGTCAAATAATCTTTTCTAAATTATTTTGAATCTTGAAATATATATACAGAAAAATATAAAACATATATCTGCAATTTAATTATAAGAAAACATTCATGTAATCACTGACAAAGATTCTTTGCTTGACCACCTGTATTAGTCCATTCTCATGCTGCTAATAAAGACATACCCAAGACTGGGTAATTTATAAAGGAAAGAGGTTTAATTGACTCACAGTTCCACAGAGTTGAGGAGACCTCAGGAAACTTACAAGCATGGCAGAAGAGGAAACAAACAAGTCCTTCTTCACTTGGCAACAGGAAGGAGAAGTGCCAAGCAAAGGGGGAAAAGCCCCTTATAAAACCATCATATCTCATGAAAACTCACTATCACAAGGTCAGCATGATGGTAACTGTCCACAATACCTCCCACAATAGGTGGGGATTATAGGAACTATAATCTAATTACATGAGATTTGGGTGAGGACACAGCCAAATCATATCATTCAACCCCTGGCCCCTCCCAAATCTTACATCTCACATTTCAAAACATAATCATGCCTTCCCGACAGTTCCCCAAGTCTTATTTGAGCATTAACCCAAAGTCCAAGTTCACAGTTTCATCTGAGACAAGGCAAGTCCCTTCTGCCTATGAGCCTGTAAAATCAAAAGCAAGTTAGTTACTAACTAGATACAATGGAGATACAGGTACTGGGTAAATACACCCATTCCAAATGGGAGAAATTGGCCAAAACAAAGGGGCTATGAGCCTCATGCAAGTCCAAAATCCAACAAGGCAGTAATTAAATCCTAAAACACCAAAATAATCTCCTTTGACTCCATGCCTCACATTCAGGTCACACTGATGCAAAAGGTGGGCTCCCATAGCCTTGGGCAGCTCTACCCCTGTGGCTTTGCAGGGCACAACCCCCCACCCCAGCTGCTCACAGCTGGCATTGAGTGTCTGTGGCTTTTCCAGGTACAAGTTGTAAGCTAACGGTGGATCTCTCATTCTGGATCTCGAGGACAGTGGCCCTCTTCAGCTCTGCTCAGCAGTGCCCAAGTGGGGACTCTGTGTGGGGGCTCCAACCCCACACTTCCCTTCCACACTGCCCTAGCAGTGAGGGAACTGCCCCTGCAGCAAACATGCCTGGACATCCAGGTGTTTCTGTACATCTTCTAAAATGTGGGCAGAGGTTCCCAGACTTCAGTTATTGACTTCTGTGCACCCCAGGCTCAACAGCATGTGGAAGCTTGCCAAGGCTCGGAGCTTTCACCCTCTGAAGCCATGGCCCAAGCTGTACGTTGGCCCCTTTTAGCCACAGCTAGAGTGGCTGGCACACAGGGCACCAAGTTCCTAGGCTGCACACAGCAGAAGGGACCCTGGGCCTGTCTCACAAAAACCATTTTTCCCTCCTAGGCCTCTGGACCTGTGATGGAAGGGGCTGCCTTGAAGGTCTCTGACATGTCCTGGAGACATTCCCCAATGGTCTTAATAATTCACATTCGGCTCCCTGTTACAAACTGAAAATTTTCCAAATTTTTATGCTCCACTTCCTCTTGAACATTTTTCCATGTAGAAATTTCTTTTGCCAGATACCTTAAATCATCTCTCTCAAGTTTAAAGTTCCACAGATCTCTAAGGCAGCGGCAAAATGCTGCCAGCCTCTTTGCTAAAGCATATCAAGAATCACCTTTATTCCAATTCCCAACAAGTTCCTCCTCGCCATCTGAGACCATCTCAGCCTGGACTTCATTGTCCATGTCACTATCGACGTTTTGGTCAAAGCCATTCCACAAGTCTCTAGGAAGTTCAGGCTTTCCCACATCTTCCTATCTTCTGAGCCCTTCAAGTCTATAGGTAGTTTTAAACTTTTCCACACTTTCCTGTCCTCTTCTGAGCCCTCCAATCTGTTCCAGTCTCTGCTCATTACCCAATTCCAAAGTCACTTCCACATTTTGGATATCTTTACAGCAGCACCTCACTCTCTTTGGTACCAATTTAATGTATTAGTCCATTCTCACACTGCTCATAAAGACATGCCTGCTACTGGGTAATTTCAAAGGAAAAAGGTTTAATTGACTCAGTTCCACAGGGCTAGGGAGACCTTAGGAAACCTACAGCATGGTGGAAGGGGAAGTGAATACATCCTTCTTCACATGCCAGCTGGAAGAAGTGCTGAGCAAAGGGAGAAAAGCCCCTTATACAACCATCAGATCTTGTGAAAACTTATTATCATGAGAACAGCAGCATGGTGGTAACTGCTCCCATAATTCAATTACCTCCCACTGGGTCCATCCACATGACACATAGGGATTATGGCAACTACAGTTCAAGATTGTTCCTGGACCAAACCAAGGGTCAGGCCACTATTTCTCATGGCCCAATAACAAGATGCTGATGAACTGGGGAAGAAGAGAGTTTTTATTTCTGTAACTGGCTACAGGGAGAAGGCTTGGAAATTATCACCAGACCAACTTAAAATTACAAAGTTTTCCAGAGCCTATATACCTTCCAAGCTATATGTCTACGTGTAAGTGTGCATTCATCTAAAGATTTAAGTGATTAACTTCTTTAATCTATAACTAAGGTCTGAGTCTTGAAGACCTTCCTCTGGAGCCTCTGTAAATTTACTTAATCTTGATCTAAATGGGTCCAGGCACTGGGGTGATTACCCTTATCTTGTCTCCTACTAAATCACGAAGGTGTGGGGAGTTCCTTCAGACTCCCAATAAACTTGTTTGTTGAGGCCTTGGGAATTTCTTCAGACCCCCAGTAAAACTTGTTTAATCATGCTTTAAGGTTCAGGAAAGGCCTAGGCAAAACTCTTGGTGGGCTTTTGTTACATTCCAGCCTTTTTATAAGGACACTGGCTTTTAATATTTAACTTAACCACTCAGTCATTACCGAAACAGTTGTTATGGAGGCCTGCATTAGTGAGACCTGGCCTGCCACAAGATTTGGGTAGAGATATAGCCAAACCTTTTATGACAAGGTTCAGTCTCCTGAACCTTGTTCATAGGCTTATCTGTGACTGTCTTATAAAATCCAATTTTAGCAAGAACCCTAAGTCTGTTTCACAAAAATTTCCCACCCTCCATATGTGATTATTCTTTGTATCTATCTGCTTCCTCATCCTCTACCAACCAGCAGATCATGTCTGATCATGCTGGCCTGTTTTCAGCTAGAATCCTATGAGGTCTATTTAACCAGAATCTCTGTTACCCTGATGCATTTCCTCTTAGTAATTTTTCATCCACTGACCTCCACCCTGCTCCTTAACTATAAATGCCCGTTTAACCATGCTGTATTCAGCATTGAGCCCCATCCTATATTGGAGTGTCTTTTCCCCTGTTGCAGTAATCCTGAATATAACATCCGTTTTTACCACTTTAACGATTGTCCAGCTCTGGTTTTGCTTTGACATTTCCACTCAGGTTCAGAAATAGAACATTGCTTAGAAGTGACCACAGTGCCTCACCTTATCACATTTCCTCTCTGCTCCCAGGCAACCACTAACATGATGGCTGTGATAATCTTTTTTTGCTTTTTGTTTTACCACCTACATATACTTCCCTAAGCAATACAGTTTATTCTTGCCTATTTTGAAATTGATATAAATTGAATCATATCAAATTTTTGTTGTTGTTACTTGCCTTTTTTTTTTTTTGAGATGGAGTCACATTCTGTCACCCAGGCACAGT